ATCTTCTGATAGCAAGCTGTTCCACTAGTTAATTGTCCTCGTTGTTAGGAAGTTTCTCCTTAATTCCAGGTTGCTTCTCTCCTTGATTAGTTTCCATCCATTGTTTCTTGTCTTGCTTCCTGGTGCTTTGGAAAATAAGTTGACCCCCTTATTTGGAAAATAAAAAGATATTAGACAACTAGTTCTTTTGATGGATTAAATTGCATTCCTGTATTGAGCAGTAGAATGGATTCAGTGGTCTATCTAAACTACCTCTTCAAAGTGGATATAATTTTATTTGAGCTTCAGGTCATCTTTAAAATTGAACCAAGTCTTTTATTTTCAAACTCCTGAAATTGTTGTATCAGTTGAATACACATGTAAAGAGTGAACCCTCACACCTAGCTTAGCAAGGCAATATAATTATATTTTCAATAATACTTTGCTATGCTGATTTTGGTTGGATGTTGATTGACCTGTGGACCTTGTACCTGTTGATGCACTTAGAAGGTTGATTAGTGAAAGGCTTGTTTGTTTGCTTTGTTTGTAGATGTTTGACTTCTGCATACATTTAAAAACTGACATATCTACCTGTGTTTTTTTGTATGTACTTAGCACATTGGTTGTGCTTAGTGTATTGGCTCTGTGTTTCACTGTTCAGTTGTGAATCTGATATTGCTGGCAGAGCCTGTCAAAATAGTAGTAGTGGGAGTGGGTGGTGTTGATTTCTTTACTTTTGCTTTTGTAATGTTAATTAACATTATTTATGAAGTTAATCAAAATCAGCTTCTTTTTTGTAAGTACCATAGCCACCCCACTGCAATGTTTGGAAACTCTTAAAAAGTCATATAGGATAAAAATACAGAAGTGTCCATTTCAGGAATATCTTTCAATTTTTCACAATATTTGGTTTAAAAAGATGTTAACATGTGTGTGCTGTTTGCACCTCTGTGTACTCCAAAACACTTTTGGGGATGTTGGGAAACATCCGGCCAGGCAGGGAGGAGGACTCAAGTGGGGGATTAGCCTTGAATTGTTGCACAACTGCAAAAGGTCCCACTACACTTGTTTATACATTTGTGTATTGATTAAATAAGATATAAGGACACTTGACATCCTTAAAAAATCATAGGGTTGAAGGGACCCTGGAGATTTTGTAGGTCAGTTGCTATAGTGTTGATGGTTGATCCTAAAAGATAGAAGCAATATACCACTTCAGTATTTTCAGTATCAATTCTATGAATGGTGGTTGTACCTATTGTAATCAGTTTGGTCTTATTTGTACATATTTTACTGTGCTTCTTGATTTGTATTACTAGGGCTTGCAGATCCTTTAGATCTTTGCAGATTTTTAAATAACTGGAATAGTGCCATCAACATAGCACAGATTAATGATATTTCTTGCTCCAGTTTTAAAACACTGCTCTCACCTTCTTCCAACCCAGCTTCTCTCAATATATATTCAGTACATAAATTGGGTAAATAAGGCCACTTCTTTGCCAAGTTGGAACCATCTGTTTCTCCTTGTTCTGCTGGATTGTGGCTTCCTGACCTGTATATAGGTCTGGCATGAGGACAGTTAGATGTTCTGGAATTTCTACTTTTTCTAAGCACATTCTGTAAATTGATATGATCAACTCAGTTGAAGAAATTGTCTTTCTAAAATGAATGAAGTGCATACCAACTTCTCATTGATAGTCTTTGATTTTCTCAATTATCCAGCATACATCAACAATAATGACTTGTGTTTCTCAGCCTTTTCTAGAGCCAGCTTGAATTTCTAGCATCTCTCTTTTCATGTAGGGCTCAAATTTGCATTGGGCGATCCTAAACATTAATTTGTGAATAGGCTACAATAATTTCCAGACACTGTTAAATCCCCTCCTTGTGGTATTGGTATGTAGACTGATCTCTTCCAAGCAGTTGCCACTGTATCATTCTGTGTTTCCTTCCTTCCTTCCTTCCTTCCTTTCTTCCTTCCTTCCTTCCTTCCTTCCTTCCTTCCTTAATTAAAACTCTCCAAGGTTCTAATATACCCATGTCATAAACACCATTAGAATTCTAAAATTACGTGTGGTTTTCAAATTGGAGAAAGAAACAACAACAACCTATCCAAAGGTTCAAAAGGTAACTGGACTTTCTTTTTTCTTTTTTTCCCCTTGAAAACATTTTGCTTCTCATCCCAGAACTGAAGAAGATTCTTGGATGAAAAGCAAAATGTTTTCATGAAAAAAACAAGAAAATTCAGTTGCCTTTTGAACAGCACCTTTGGGACAACCATGACCTGGATGATTGAGAATCTCCATAGACATCAACAACCTATATGGTGTTGATGCTATCGATTTGTCACCTTGAGAATTTTTATACTTGTCATATTGAGAATTTTTTATACAGTAAGAGAATATGCATATATGGAGAATGCATAGCAGGAGATATTGTTTCTTAGTAGCTGCTCCACGCTTGTGAGATAGTCCTTTGCCCCTTCTAAACTCTGCATGTAAGATACTTGGTTCAGAATTCAGAACATTGTTTCATCTGTTGGATGGCCACCATCTTGTCATTTTTCATATGGAACTGTGCAGTATCATTTTTAGAGTCAATTTGGGGACGGGGAAATGGCTTTCAAGACCCATTTAAAGGATATATTCTTTCCAGATTTCTTTAAATGGATAGCACTCATCATTACATTTGTATTTACTGAGCAAACACCCTACTCCATTCCAATTTGTACTGTAGTCGTTCCAATATTCCCTCAACCAAAATTAATTTCCAATTTAATCCAGTACTATAAACTGGATCTCCACTCCTAGAAAGACACAACCTCTAGAAAGGCTGTCATCTCTTTCGTTCCCCTTCTCCAGATCCCCCTCCAGATAAATAATTTGCTGCTGAAACTTGTGTATGAAGAGATCATGATGACGAAGAGCTGGATATTTACTTCTAACTGCATCCTTTGAGTGGTCAACTATGAATTCACACAGTCCACTCCTCTACTTTGCTTGGTTTCAGGTGATCTTATTTTCCTTCAGATCTGCTGTGTTAATTTTAAAAACTGAAAGGGTTCAGCTGATCACATTATATACATGGGAGGGCAGGGCATCCTGTCAAATCTTTTAAGTTCTATAAGGTTTTGACTAGGTCTCTATGCAAGTGCATTACCCATGTGTGTGAATTCAGGGAACCACTCAAAGAACTGCACTAATCAAAATACTTTTTCTCAAGTCTCCTCACGTTAGATTTTATGTTCTAAAATCTAATGATGTCAAAATATGTTTCTTATTCAAATAATAATTTGGAAATGAGAAAGATTCCAAAACTTGTGATCTTGGCTGAATAAATCTACATTGTTATAAGCTGAAAATTTAGCTCAGTTCTCTGCCTCAGGAGCATGTTGTGTAAATCAGTTAAATGATATACTGAGGAAGGTCTGATAGTAAGAGTTGAAATATTTTGAATTCATTTAAAACAAATCATAATGGTTGGGTTATGTTTTACTGAGTTCCTTTTATTCTGTTCTGTTAATAGTATGTGTAAATAATGATTTCTTTTTCATGTGTTTTTATTTTTAAAACAGATTTATCTGGTTTATGTATTTTTATGATATGAGGTTTAATTTCCTAGCAGTTTTTATTTTCTTTTTATTAAACTTGATCTCATAGAAAATGTTTTAACATTTTTTTGTTCTTTTTAAAAAAAATAAGTTCTGGGCAAGACATCCAAGGGACAAGCGTGGTTGCAAATCTTCCAGTCCTGATGCGACAGAATCCTACAGAGACACTGAGGAGAGTCTTGCCAAAAGTTCGAGTAGGTATAGCATGATTTCCTATTAAAGTATTGCATACATTCCAGTTATACCAAGAACAAAACTCCCACTGATTTTAATAGCTGTGAATATTTTA